GTCAAATGAACGTTTTGAAGTTCACTGGTATTTAAAGAAAAAACTTTTTCTCTAAATATCAGTAATCTTAATACATTCATCTAAATATCATCAAACAAAAATACATATAATTGATTTCTCTACTGTGTTTGAAGTGCAAAGAGAGATCAGAATTGCAAAAATGTTGTGCATCCTCACATTGTAAGAGTTTATGAGGTTATAGAAACACATACAACATTTATACTGTGATGGAGTATCTTAATTTTGGAGAGCTCTTTGATTACATATCAGCTAGAGGAAGCTTGCAAGAAAACGAAGCTCGTCATTATTTCTAGGCAGGTAGGCATAAAGGTAGACATAATGACTTATATATATATATATATATATATATTTAATAGTGCTCATTATGTTTTGAGATATCAATGAATGAATTACACATTAGATAAAGAAGCTTGAAAGAAGGCGAATCCCCTGGATCTTGCTCTCTCCTCCTCATGCCCTCTTGGTCGTCTTCTCCTTCTTTCCTTACATAAACATCAAGCTCATCACTAATTTCCCTCAGACCTCTCCAAGCATACAATAACATCAACAACAAACCTTATCTTATTAGGTGAGGTCAACTACATAAATTTATTATGTTATTGTGCTCTGTGATTTACCAAACTTTTAAAAATATTGTTAACAAAGAAATCTCTATTAACAATTTGCAAAAGTATTTTCTTTAGCCTTTCCTTACTTCTTTTAATAAGGTTCAAAGTTATTGTTTCATTTTCTAAGCATAAATGCATCTAAATTATTGATTTGAAATATCTGGCTAAACCAAATAGTCAAGTCCTTGTGTTGGTGGGCGTAGGAGCTATGGCACCCAGGCCATTAGATCAGAGCTCATCTATCATGGATACTTAGGTTGAGGAAAGTAGTGATTTGGAGTTGAAGTTTTATTGGAAACTATTGTCAATGACTGAAGATTAGAGCACAAATCAACAGTTTGGGTGATTCTTTATCTTTTCATTCAGATGGTTAGAATGGAAATTTTATTAAAATAATCAATGTCAAAGAAGTCCCTTAGATAATTATTATATTTCGTGGTATTTTCCTGTCATTCACTTATTCGGGAAATTTTTGTGTGTCATTCTCTATAAAATAAAAGGAAAACTGGTTAAAAATGTTTTTTAAGAAACTATACATAAAAAATCAAAAATTAAGAAACTACACACCCAAATTCATAAAAACCTGAAAGCTACAGTAATACTAATTTAAGTTATATATAGCATCGATTGCCTATTTAGTGAAATATCATAACGTGATGCCTGCTTAGGCAATGATTTCATTTCGGTCAAATTTTGATCTCATTAAGGACTTATGCATATTTTCTTCACATTTTAAAATTTTATAATTTAAAAAAATTGATACAAAGGAATTTTTTTTAATATTCAATATAAAAAATATATTATCTATATTAAAATAAGATTGAAATATAAAATATAGACCATCCATATAAATTTGGACAATCCAAATCTGCTGAGAAAGAGTAGTCATGTTGCTATTTTCTAATAACAGAGAAACTAAATATGTAAATATAGATCTTTAGAGGTAATCGAGTGATTCAATAAGAGATCCACAACTGATCTTTAATGGAACTAATTTCTCACATGAATATCCCAATCATGTGATTGCTGCTGCTTATTTAGATTTGTTAAAAATATGTTGCAATTAAACTAAATCTTTCCATTGAAAAGAAATTTTTGAAGTTAATTTAATAAATGGAATGTTTTGAATCGTAGATCTATTAAATAAATTCAAATATTTCATTTTTCTCACATAATCAATAGGTAATAACAAGATTCATAAAATATACCTGAAGATCAAAAAGTGAAATAGTCAAATGCTTACAATGTTGCACTTCTCAAGCACCATGAGCAAAAAAATTAGGGGGATTATAGCCGTTCTTCAAAGAAGATGTAGCTAGGTTGACTGTAAATTTAGAAAATTTATACATAATTAAATTAGAGGGAATGTGGCCGTTACTCAAGGACGATGTAGCTAGGTTGGCTGTAAATTTAAAAAATTTATACATAATTTTTCACATTTTAAAATTTTATAATTTAAAAAAATAGATACAAAAATTCTTTTAATATTCGATATAAAAATATATTTTTCTGTTAAAAAATAAGATTGAAATATAAAATATAGACAATCATATAGACTTTGGACAATCCACATCTGCTAAGAAAAAATAGATGTGTTTCTATTTTCTAATAACGAAGAAATTAGATTGGTAAAATATATACTGTTAGAGGTAGCCTGAGTGATTCAATAAGAGATTAGCAAATGATCTTTAATGTTGCTAATTTCTCACATGAATATCCCAATCATGTGATTGTAGCATATTTTGATTTGCCAAAAATATGTTGTGATTAAAACCAAATCTTTTCATTAAAAAGAGATTGTTCAATTTAATTTAATAAATAGATCATTTGAATTGCAGATCTGTTAAATAAATTTAAATATTTCATTTTTCTAATATGATCAATAGGTAATCACAAGATCCATATAAAATAAGTGAAGATCAAGAAGTGAAATGGTTAGATACTTACAATGCTGCGCTTCTCAAGCACCGTCAGTGAAAATGTTAGGGGAATTGCGGCCGATTCTTAAGAAAGATGTAGCTAGGTTGGCTATGAATTTAAAAATTAGGGTAAAGTAAAACCTTTTAAAATTCAAAATTTATGGGTGTATTGAAAAATATAAAAGAAACTCGGCCCAATATTTATTTCTTGGACTAGTATATGCTTACAAAAATGTTTTAAAAAATCTTTGGGACAAGGTTGGGCCTCCACATTTAATTGGCACTTAGTCATCGGAATGATTAGACCCAAAACTCTGCAGATGAGCTATTCAAAGCTTGTACATTTCATATATATATATATATATATATATTATATTATATCTTCATGTGATATTTTTTTTTTTTTTTTTAACTTCAGCTATTAGTGTGTATATTATATTTTTTGTTGATTAATGAAAAATTAACTTGTCTTCGGCCAAAAAATATATACCTTCAAATGATATATTTAACGCTACAAATAATGGCTTAAAATTTGTTTTTGGCATTGAATTGAATTTTATATATAATAAATACTTTGACTCATTTGAAATAATTAGACACAAAATTAGTAAAAAAAAACTTCACAAATTGTTAGTTTTTCATAATTTTTTAATATTCTAAAGTGAATTGTTTTCTCAATTACTAACAATCTCTCTCAATTTGTACGTGTCATCTTTGCATAAGGGTTATGCTTATCTTCTTTGTATGCTTCAATTTTATCTGGAAGTTACTGATAATGACAAAGATCAAATAACATCTTTTTGTTTCTAACATCATATGATATCTCATGATAATTACTTTGTTCTCTGCAGCCTTTCAAATTTAATTATGTAAATTAAAGGGTAATAATCACCATTTAGCATTTAATTAATAGGACAATTAAAAATACGGCTCACGAAGATAATTATTTTGGCAGAAATTAAAAATTTAGAGTGGATGTGAAAATTTTATTCCAAAAGGTCTTGCAAAAATTATAATTTTGAAAGGAAAATGTGAACAATATTTGCAGACAAGCCCTACTAGGAGGTTTTTTTTTAAATAAAACAAACTAATCTTATTTATCTCTCACTTCTTCTCTAAGGCTTTGGCTAAGTTTTGCTTTTTAATTAAGTGGGTTGAGTTTGGCATCTCAAAGGCTCATTGTTGAATATTAGTTGGTTGGTCGGAAGTTAGAGCTTGAAGCATCTGATTAGGTAACTATAATTGGTTGGTATTACCTTACTCTATACTAAACTCAAAAATTTATATTTTAAAATGATAGGATGGATGGGGTTTTTTCCCTCCCAATAATTAAAAGTTTTAGATGAGTTAGCCCTAGAGGTTCACTAAAGCTCAGACATATCTCGAGGCTCAAAGGGTACTTATAAAGGTATTTGCAGATGACCTACCAATAAAGTTCTCACAGCAACATTTGAACCTATGATTTTGTAAGTTATAGGACAATCGTAGCAAACTAGACCAACATTTGTTAGTTGAGATGGATAGTATTTGTTTTTTTTTGAAATAATGAAACTTTCAGTCCATCGAGTTTGTTTTTGTTGCCAAGTTGGTCCTTTATGGTTTTTTTTTAATTATCATGAATCCTTCAAATTTAAAAACACAAATAGATTCTCTAACTAAACTAATTTGTTAAAATACATTGATGACTTGACATATACATGTCGTTAAATGAGAATAAATTAACCCCTACATTAATTAACTTTTAGGGAGAATAACATTCAATCTCCTCCCAAGAAAATTTATCACAAAGAAGGACAAATAATAAGTTTCATTCAAGAAAAAATTGTTAAAAATTATGCCCTATGGCCAATCATTATATTATGTACATTGTTATTTAATAAATTTTTTTTTTGTTATCATATCAATTGCATATTCAATATGATAATTGTATCCTTATACAAACTATAGTGATTGTCCTAAATGTCCCTGGTCGGTCATCTTTAGGGATCATAGATGAAACAAGACTAGTATGACTTTGATTAGTTATAGAGATACAAATCAAAGTCATAGACACTTGAAAGAGTACAAGGTGTTAGATCGACCTATTATAAGAAAGTTATATGATACAAGTCACGAGCTTATCTCATATATAAGTATGTAACTATATCACTAAGCCTTTTAACCTGAGATCATCATGGATTTCTACATGATGACTACTAAACTTTGACCTAGTCAAAAGTCACCTTTGATTAGGTGATCATAAAGACTATGATTAAGTTTAGTGATATTCATGTAGAAGAATATGAGTGGTTAAGATGGAATTTGTCTCTCACATTAAATGAGAGATATTACTAGGCCCCTCGATGAGTAAGATTGAAAAAATATATGGCCATACTATAATAGAAAGGGTTTTTCTATTACTACTGTCAGTCCACTCAAAGATCAAGATAATAACGATCGGGTAAAGAAGAATGAAAATTCTATATCTCATACTTAGACCGAAATATTACGTGAAAAAAGGGATGTGATACGGTTACATGATAGGTTACATCGGATCATCGTTCCCATGTGAATTGGGTAGTTGTAATGTCTTATTAAAGGCCACTTGTGATTGGTAGGCTAATAGTGTAATTAGCCTATTATCAATTTCATATGGACCTACAGAGTTGCACACAAGAACAGCCCAACTCAAGCTATAATGTCCAAATTCATTGAATCTAGAATATGTCAGATTTAATAAATATAATATAGGGTGAATGAATTATATATATATTTAAATATTTATTTGATAAACATATATATATATATATATATTTATATGAAATATAAAATTCAAAATATAATATATATAAAATTATATCAATATACTGATAATTCATGTGATGTAATATTAGAAATAGATTTTATAGAATAATATTATTCATTATATATGTTTAAAAAAGTAATAATATTAACAACACCTTGTAATCACTAAGCATGGGGAGTAAGAGTAATTAAGCCATATAGTAGAAGAGATAAAAAATTTTAAAAGAAAATAGAAGAATATAAAGTATAATTTTACCAAATAAAAAACCTTTATATAATAATGAAGTTATAAATTTAGTAAAAAAATTAAATACTGCAAGCCAAATAAAAACTATTGAACAAAGACTAATAGAAAATTATAGTGATAATCCTTTAATACATTGGGAAAAATCAAAACCTTTAGCAAAAATAGAATTAAGAGATTATAGTAAAGAGATAAATTGTAAACCTTATCCATAGACTGAAAATGATAAAAAAATTGCAATGCATATAAGTGAAATGAAATAATATGATTTGATAAGAGAAAGTAAATCTGAATATTCATCACCTGCCATGATAGTAGTTAAACATAGAGAAGAAAAAAGAGGAAAATCAAGATTAGACATAAACTATAAAAAAAATAGATGAATTAGCAATAAGAAATAGGTACCCAATTCCTAAAATAGACTTATTATTTAATCTAATAAGAGGTAAAAAAATATTCAATAAATTTGATTGCAAATCAGGATTTTTTTAAATAAAATTACAAGAAAAAAGTAAAAAATATACTACCATTAATACATCAGAAGGATTGTATGAATGGAATGTATTACCTATGGGATTTCATAATAGCCCTAGTATATTTCAAGAATGTATGACAAAATTATTATTGCTAATAAAAGATTTTGCTGTAATATATATAGATGATATTTTAATATTTTTAAAAGATAAAGAAGAACATGAAGATCACTTAAAAAAATTTATAGATCTTATAGAGAAAAAAGGATTAAATATCTCATCAAAGAAAGCTGAATTAAGAAAAGAAAGAATAAAATTTTTAGGTCAATATATAACCAATAATGGAATAGAATTATAAGAACATATTAGTAAGAAAATATTAGAATTTGATGAAATAAAAAAAAAGAACTTCAATCATTTTTAGGATTAGTAAATCAAGCCAGAAATTATATTCCAAACTTATCAAAATTAACAGCAAAAGTAAGTAAATTAGTTAGAGAAAAGACAATATAGACATGGGATAAAGAAAAAAAATAGTAAACCACATAAAAACTTTATGTCAAAATCTACCTAAATTAACCATCCCAATAAATAATGTTGTAACATGGATAATTTACACAGATGCTTATATATATTTCAATATATATATATATATATATTCATATATGTGTGTGTGTGCATATATCATGTATATGATATATAAAGTTAAATATATATTTGAAATATATATATATATATATATATCATTTATATATAATATAATATGTAATATGTTAGTTTTAAATTTAATTTTATATGATAGATTAAATTTAATAACTAACATGATATGAGAGAATATCAAGTCAATTTTATAATTTAAATTTATAAGATAAATTCAAATTAGATGTGATATCATGGATTAAATTTATGAAATAAATTTAATTATATTTTCGTGAGCCTTTTAAGTGAAAGACAAAAACCCTTATTTATATACTATATATAGATAGGGACATCCTTTATTAAGGATAAGAGAGTTAGAAAAGTTTTGACGGTAAAAATACTCTGAGAGCTACAAAACACTCAATAGAAAGGAAAAATAACATTCAAAGAAGAACAAACGCTAGGAGCACTAGCACGCTGTTCAAGTTAGAGAGCTGTTCGTGTAGATACTGGTAGAGGGAGCAGATCTACATTGTTAGCTCCTAAAATCCAAACTCTTAAAGAGAACATGCTATAAGTTAAAGAATTAAAAGGTAACTTTTCTATCCACCTTGACTTAAACGAGTTCGTTCGGTCCATATCAGGATAGGGATTTTAAAATTTTAATCTTCCGTTGTGCCTCCCTATCCAACAAAAATAAATCATGTTCACATTTTAACAATAATCTGTTCTGCATTGGTTCTTATCTGTAATTAATTCTCTTGAAAGGGAGCTAGCTGTGGTTTTCTCTAATTTTTATCAATATATAATCCTTTTTATTGTGTTTTATTCTCCTTTTTTTTAATTTTATAGTCTAATTTTTTTAAATAATTATACTTTTTCATTAATCTATACAATTGATATCAATATTCTATTATTCATGCTAATAAATATTAACAATGTTACCTCCTTTTTAAATAATAAGGATCAAATCGATAATAAAATAAATTTAAAAGACCAAATTGATATAAATTAAACTTGATAGACCAAATTGATAACTGTAACATACTTGAGAGATTAAAAATTGCATTATCTCTATCATTTTTTTTTTTGGTAAATAGCATTATCCCTATTTTTTAATCCATGTATCTACTTATACTAGTATATTTTTTTAAGGATGTTATAGTTAAAGGTGGGAAAACATGTTAGCTTGACAAGCCTTTATGGCCAACCCTTGGTAGGCTTGGACCTACAAAGGTTGAGCTTAAGAAGCTCGATTATTCAAAAAACTTGATCATTTGCAAAGCCCAATGCTTGATCTTGTGGGCTTAAGGTTGGCATGAAGGGCTTTAGGCCCTTTTAATTTCTTTAAAACAAATACATGAAAATAAAAAAAACTTAAATTATAAGTAATTAAATATTAATCAATTAAAATACCAAATTATTATTTCAATTTCCAAAATAAAACCAAATAAAGCTTAATAAACCAAACGAGTCTTCTCTAAATATCAATAAAACAATAATAACAAAAAATTAGCAGCAGTATCATGATGGTCATTATCATTTTTATTGTTATATTTATCATCTATAATATCTACAATATTTGGTTGCATTTCACTTTGAGTAAGCACTTTAGGAGAAAAAATATTATGATTTTCTTTTTTCATTTAGGCTAAGATTTTTTTTAACATTTTTATTTTTTTTTTCATATTTGCATTTCCTTCATCTTCATCTTCAGACCCAATTCAGTGACAGTTTTGGAGTTGTCCCCTTTAGTTTAGCGATGGCAACATCTTCAAACCCAAATTCACTAGTTACGTTGCTGTGTTTGCTCTTTGGAAATGGAGATTTTTTTTTTGGTTTGGCTCTCTGCGTTTGAGTTTAACTTTATTGCCTTTGCTTTAATGAAATCCAGATCCACAATTTTTTTCTCTAGAAAGGCAGGTTTGCTTTGACGATGAAGGTTGTAGTAGGAGAGAGAGAGAGAGGATGATGATGAAGGAGAAGATATTTGACGATGAATCTTGCGGTAACAGAGAGAGGACAATGATGGAGAAGAAGAATATGAGGGATGTTATCTTTAAGCTACTTTTATTTTGGTTAAACTTGAGTCTTATTTTTTTTTTTAAAAAAATCTCATGACATATCAAATATGATTTTAAAACTTATTCCCATTTTCAATCCCAATATTAATTTCAATCCTGATCTTGTAAATTTTAATATCTTGTACCACATAGGGTCCTAGTGGGTTTAAATGTTTGAGTTTTGTCCAATATTATGTTAGATTGTGAATCTTTGTGGCTGTATGTTTTTGGTTAATTTGTCTTAAATTTAAGGGGTGCTACATATTGTGTCATGAGAGAAAGTATATAAATGAAATTTTGTTCAATATCCATCGTTAACTCACGCTTGAATTCCAACAACCTCTCCTCAAATGTGAGTTTTCCTAACATATTCTTCTTACTTTAGTCTTTCCCATATTTTTAAGATAATCACCCACATATAGTAGATCAATAACATGCCCTTTATTTGGACGCCCAAATGCTTTCCAATTCATGGCCAATCATGGATTTCAATCCAATTACTTTGATGCCCTTGGCAATTTATGGCTTTAATATATATATATATATATATATTTTATAGGTGACATTTTCATTATTAATCCTTTTATCCACCCATAATAGGAGGTTGAATGGCACGAATAGATTGTTCTTCGTCCAGTTGAATCAATGGTTAAGATTTAAGATAGCCACGAGCAAAGAATAGGCTGATGGACATTGTCAATTTGCTTTACCAACCAAGAAAGTTGTGGGAAGAGTTCAAGAATTATATCAATTTCATTACATATAGTTTTTCAAGAACTACATCTACTCCCTTCAATTTTTATTATAAGATATTTTCAATCATTTCGTTCATATTAAGAAAAATTAATTTTTTCTTGATATTATAAAAAAGTGATATGTATTTTTATTTTTATCTTTGATTTTAAATAATAATATAATTACATAAAATACCTTCATGTTAATTAAAAAAAATTAAAAAAATAATTTAATTATTATAAGGTGTCTTATATTTTGATCTAAAGATTATTTATAAAATATGTCTTACAAATAAGAAGAGGGAGAGGGTTACTTACATACATGTGTTCATTGTTATATTATTTCATTGCCCACTGTAATGACATGCCTCAATGCTTCTTTTAATGCACGTTAAAAGTATGACCATGAAACATTTTATATTTTTGACCACATATTTTTAAAAATGATATTATTTCTTTTATATGTTTTATGACATCTCAAAGCCTATCTATTAAATTTATAAGAAATTAAAGAGGAATATGAAAAAATCCATAAAGACTCCTAAAAATAAAAAAATAGAAAGATCAAAGTACAATAATTTATGATGAATAGGAATTAAAGTGAATTAATGAAGAAAAGTCGAACGGGGAAATATATTTATTATTTTAGAAAATAAGATTCAACATATCGTCAACATTTTAACATATAATAATGAATAAATATGAAATTTATAGCTTTATTTTAATCACAAAATTAATCTTTTATAAAAGATCATCATCAAAAGTGGTGTAGTTTCTAGTCATTTAATCACAAAATCAAGAGCATTATGGCTACTAGTCATTTAATAATATAAATTTAAAATATCAATAAATATCAAATTGATTATTACAGAAATTAAAATTAAAATTTTTTAAATGATAGTATCTAAAAGTATAAAAATAACTTGAAGTAAGAACAAAAGGTAAATTTTTTTACTTTAATATCAAATCCAATTAGTCATTAATAATTAATATGTAAAATAAATACATTCAAAGAAATTGCAAAGTTATTGTTGAAATTTCTCGTCAACATGAATATGAATTTCTTGAAATTTTGTTGCATTAGGACTAATTTGCCCATTAACGTGATAATCCAAAAATGCCCCTCCCCAAGTAAACGCGTAAAAACCATGGCATCGTGCTTGAGTCCTAAACCCTCCACTCCCTACTTTCCTTCTTACCGCAGCAGACGGTGACCTGCAGCCGTGTTCGCTGGCCACCGTCCACCGTCCACCTGCACCAATTTTTTATTTTTTTTCTGGTAAGAACCATTAGCATATGATTCTAGTTTGGACATGCTGGAGCTGTGTTTTTTTTTTTTTTTTTTAAATTATGGGTTTTATATAAACCTACTGAGTTTTAGGAAATGATCAATGCAAGGTTGAGACAAGTGATAAATAAAGTAGAAATCGTATGATTCCTGTGGGCACAGTCATTGCTTTTCGAAGATGGGTGCTTTGTTTTCCTTTCTTGTGTGAATGACTTCTTAGCTTTATATCCTTTTCCTTTTATTTACGCAATAAGACTTTCAGATATTCATATTTCAATATTAGTACAGTACCAACGTTGAGAAATTTTATCTGCGACAGGCTCCTCTATTTGATTAAACTATATTTTGTAGCAAGGGGAATTGGGAATTGTATGTCGGCTGACTATGCAATGCTTGATAACTAAAGGCTCCGCTATTTGAATTGGAAATACTTGATTTTTGATTGAGAAGTAATGCTGATATTTGATTTTAGTTATATACCAGATTTTATGAAAAAGATGTGATATTATAAATGATGACTTCAACTCAAGTGTTGTATATTGTAGATAACTAAAAGGTTTTGGATTCAAACCAAGTAATGTTATATATTGTTTTGATTTACTATAAGGTGCTATTTCACATTCCCATTCATTAATGAACTCTCATAGATACTGATACAGTGAGTTTTATCCGATCAGTTCTCATCTGGAAAATGTAGTACCAACAATCATTAAGCAAAATTAGAATCACGATGTTAGAAATACAGTTTTATCTTATTGTTTAATCTATCTTAATGTCTTGTGTTAATTTTCCAATCCTTCTGTGTTTTTCTTTTCTTACATTGAATAATTGATTTCTCAAATCTAGATCCTTTTATGTCCTTATAGTTGTATGGAGGCTTTTGTTGGGTTGATGGGCTATTATAAGTTTTCTGTAACAACTTTGTTTCATTCTTTTGTCCTTTTAAAGATCCCCCCCACAAGCATGGGGCTTTGATCCTTGATTGATGTATTAGTGTCTGCAGCATGCACAGCTGTAAATATTATCTTTATCTTTGATGTTGATTTTTCTTTGATGGAATCTGATGTTGGCATCTGTCTCAATAACAAGTATTTTTCTTTGTTAGATGGAATAGGAGTTGATGTATTTCTTTGAGTTTGGACCTTGTTGATTTATTCCACCTGTATATCAAAATGATGTGATTCTGTTGTATACTTTATGATTGAGCACCACATTTCCTATTAAGATGAATAGATTGTTTAGTTGGGAGAAAATTGATGAGTATTTTTGTAAACTTCACATGTATATTTTATTAACTTTTCATGCAGGATAGGGGGAAACTTTTTTATAAGAGTATAGTTGTCCATAATATAATTATTTTCCCTTCTCTCATCTCTTGAACCGAACAAGGTAACATTAAACATTAAACACCCCCCCCGAAGGAACCAAATAGTGTTAGTTGATGAACAAGCATTCCACACTTGGTTGGTCAAGCTCTTTGTTGGATGCCGTTTGTCATTGTCAGCCAAATATTGAAAGTTGTTTGAATTCTAGGGCTTTGTCTACTAGAATTCGGTGAGATTGATTTGTTCAATTTGGCTCTAAATCTAAATTTGAATTTATTGCCTGCGTCATTTGCTCCCTGTGTGGTTATCAACCCTGCGTTGGATGCCATTGCATCACTTCTTGCTTTGTTTTAAATTTTTCATTTTAATTGGGCTTTGAACTTGATAGTGTAATCCTTTGAAAATTACGCTTTTGAACAAAGATTGAGTTTACCCTTTTTTTTTCTTCAAAAAATTGATTGATTACTAGGTGTGTAATCGGCTATTATACTTCTATGCTCTTCATTTTGATTACATGTTTTGGATTGTTTTGTTGTGCAATGTTTGATTGCTAGTGACTTATATTCTGTTTCCAGTCTTTTGCTCTTGCTTCACTATATATATCTCACTATAAAACCATCACTCTCCCCAAATAATCGATAATGTATGTACAAAATCATATTAGATAATTTATTACTTCATTTTCCACAAACAGTAATATAAATAATTAGCAATGGCACAATGTTTTTTTTTTTTTTTTTTTAAGTTTTTATATGATTAATTGTTATTATTTCTTTTAGCCAAATTCTTTGTTGCAATATAAATATGTTTTAAACAAATAGTAATGTAAACTAACATTCTTGGGACCCTCCTTAATGTGTTGATTCATGGAACCCTCCCCAATACTTGATTTTTGTTGATTTGTAATGTCCACGATCTTCTGAACAATAGTTGTCCCTTAGATATGAAACTTTATCTTCCAGAATTTTAACGAAGCAAAATAGGTGGTAGATAGTGTCAGTTTAATGTTGGCAGTCATTACTAACTGGCTTATTCTTCTCGGTGTAACATATCTGGATCATGTATCATGAAGGTTCGGCATTTGTTGTAATGATATCTTGTTTAAACACCTGTACTTAGAAATGCCTGGTGAGATATCATTTATTCTTCTGTGTGATTACATATGACTATTTTTGTTATTTGCTTAATCATTATGCTGATATGCAAATATATAATTGAATGCTTTAATTTTTATTTTTTTATCACTTTCAAGATTACGTTATAACTGTTATATATAGATCACATAATTTCAATTTGCAAGTTTAACTGTTGACTGGTTATTTCACCTTGTAGTACACCTCCATTGAGCCTTTGGATGATGGAGTACTGGTGAAAATTAATGATGCGGAAGAGAAGACTGAGGTTGGGATCCGATTTTCACAACTGCTCAAACGAACCCACTTGTTTATTCAAAGTATGCAGGGACTAATAGAGTTCAGTGGTTCTAAGAATCTTATACTAAAGGATGATGATATTTTTTGTATCCTTGAGATAGATGATATCAAAGATATTAAACCCTCAAATAACATAAGCTTAAGGTATGTCTCCATACAGGGTATTTTGAATTATATGTTTGCATATAATTATTGAATGTGGAAAGTTAATTATTGAATGGCATAGCATTGTTTGTCATCATGCTAGCATATGGTCTAATCCTCTTGTAGTATGTCCCCCTGCCCCTTTTGTAAACAAAGTTTGTAGATTTTTAAATGTAGGAGCAGTTGAACAAGAAAAAAATGCTGCTAGGTGAAGAACTTGTAGTTATAGCTAGTATAACAGTCTGGCCCATTTGGATTGAACTAGAAATTCAATTTATAAATTGATAACTACAAATGTTTTGCTGGTGAATTCACCCTTTGTAAGAGTTGATACATTTGGTGACAGGTGGAAAGTTGAAGCAATATCTAATGAAGAATGGTGCTAAGATCAGCATGGAGGAACCACAAATGTTGATTTCTGGAAATTCAAATCAGAAAAATGAGGCACTTGGAGATCTCATGCTAAGAAGTGATGAGGGATGTGTTTTTGAAATGCTGAGTGATGCAATCATCTTTGAGCGTCTTGTTTCTCCATCCTGTTTAGTGTTTTAGGGAGTTGCACTTTGCCTTCATCTCTTTGCAATTACTGTCCACCCTGGTTTACATGCATAATAGGCCCAAACAAATATGATATTTTGACCCATTTTTTACCTTAATTGAAGACACAATCACAGATCACAATTCATCTGAGGTTTTTTTTTTTTTTTTTTAACAATCACTCAAGAAATTGAAGATTTTGACCGTATTGTGCGACATGTTAGTAAAGCCCTTGCTTCTGAGGTTAATGGGAACTTGTGTAAAGAGTTGGCATGTTTTGATTGGTGCAGTTTTGCATTGGAGCAATTCTTGGTGGTGTTGAATTATGGTTTCTTGGTTATCAACAAGGTTGTTGAACATATGCATAGCTTCGATGTGCAAGGCCCGGCAATTGGTTAAAGCTGAAGTTGTATTAATTGATGGTATAAGATTAGGGGTACTTCCAGATGTGGTTACATACAATACTTTAATCGATGCATATTGTCGTTTTGTGAGTATTGATGTTGGTTATTCTGTTCTTCATAGGATGAGGGAAGCTGGGATAAACCCAGATGTTATTTCTTACAATTCTTTAATTGCTGGGGCTGCCAGGAAGTGCTTGTTGTCTAGGTCCTTATGTCTGTTTGAGGAAATGATTCAAATGGGTATACATCCTGATCTCTGGAGCTATAATATATTAATGGATTGTTTGTTCAAGCTTGGAAAACCGGATGAAGCAAATCGTGTTTTTCGGGATATAATACTTAGTGATCTCCATCCAAGCAAGGCTACTTTTAACATTATGATTGATGGTCTTTGTAAAAATGGGTATGCCAATAATGCTTTAACGTTATTTAGGAATTTGCAGCAGCGTGGATTTGTTCCTGATATAGTGACATACAATGTACTCATTAATGGGCTCTGCAAGGCCAGAAGATTAGTGGCAGCAAGCAAGATCCTTAAAGAGCTTGAAATATCTGGTCGTGAACCAAATGCTATAACCTACACTACAGTTATGAAGTGTTGCTTCAGGTGTAAGCAGTTGGAACGAGGGTTTGAGATCTTGTCACAGATGAAGAGTAAAGGGTTCACATTTGATGGCTTTGCTTACTGTACGGTGATTGCTGCATTAATTAAGACAGGAAGAATTGAGGAGGCAGATTACATCATTCATCAGATGCAGATGAGTGGCATTGTGTCTGATGTGGTGTCCTATAACACACTAATAAATCGTCACTGCAAACAGGGAAGATTAGATGATGCCTTGAAGTTATTGGATGAACTAGAGAAAGCAGGCTTAGAATGTGATCAATACACTCATACAGTTATAATTAATGGCTTGTGCAAAGCTGGCTATATTGATGCAGCTCAACAACATTTGAATCATATGAGTGCATTGGGATTCAATAGTTTGGTTGCTTTTAACTGTTTGATTGATAGTCTAGGTAAAGCTGGTCAGATTGATCGTGCCGTGAAACTATTTAAATCAATGGAGTTTAAAGATGCTTTTACATATACCATCTTGGTACATAATCTTTGCCGGGCTAGAAGGTTCCTTTGTGCATCCAAGCTTTTGATGTCTTGTCTAAAGTCTGGGCTTAAGACCCTAAAGGCTACTGAGAGAGCTGTTCTTGATGGTCTCCATGGTATAGGATACACAAATGAAGCCAGGAAATTGAGGTCTAAAATTAAATTAGCTCGATTGCTGCATTGACTACTTGGCAGTTGTTGTATCTGTATTAGTAATGTAGTACTTGCTGACTTGGTAATAACCCCCATAACTTCATCAAAAGGGAGACTATTATCATTATGCTACAGGACTGTTGGTGAGTAATATAATTAAATAGGCTGGTGGCCTGGTGCTACATCAAGATGATTGAGCCTTGGCCTTTTTAGCGTCAGTGAATCATTCCTTGTATCATTGATGTGTATCCAAGGACCTGCCGGGAATTCCACCACAACAGCCATGAGTAAAGGTACTGAGGCCTGTTTTCTGTGCTAGTAGGACTTTTGATGAAATGGGAACATGAAAGGGAGTAAGAATGAGACAGTAAAAGGAATGAGATATGTTTGATATGTTAGAAAAAATCAATAGAATCCTGGTAGTATGATTTTGGTTTGCATATGTATTTGAAATTTAGTTGATGGAATGGAAGCCAAAAATGATCAAAAAACTATAATACCCCTGGGAAAATAAATAATTAAAATTAATAAGAGTAATCTCCAATCCATTCTTCTTATCACGTTATGCTGTGGTGGCTTGTATTTTAACCTTTGCAGCACCGAGGTTGTGGTAAACTATTTTTCCACATTCAAGGTCCCAGCTTCTGCAATTCATCTTATTTAAATGGACCTTTACATAATATATAAGGTTTAAGGGTCCCAATTATGATCTTCAAAACTGGTAATTAAAATTACTTTTAAGCTCTTGCATATGTAACTTGATTGTCTAAAGATGCTACTTGATTGTGGAAGATGGGGGCAATTGATCAGGACCGACATGGGAGCAATTGATCAGGACAAGGGAGAAATTGTTCTGTTCATTCTAAGGTGTTTGATGAAAGTCCTGAATGAAAAAATTAATTGGCAAACTATGTACTGATATTGGTATTATTCTCTGTTGCATCTGGACTGCTTTGTTTATTCTCGAGTGGTGGATTGATAAAATTTCACTTAGTCATTGTGATTTGTGAGACACATTTTCATCTTCCTAATATGAAATTATGAATGGATGTGTTACCTTTGATACATTACAGCTTGTTTTGTTATTCTATTGTGATTGGAGAAGGAAAATTAACTTTAGGCAAAGCTGAATGATAACATAGTTTTGATATATTGCAGGTTGTTTTGATGTTGTGTTCTGGTTGGTGCGTAAATCAGCTCGAAAGACAAATGTTGATATCTGGAAATTCAAGTCAGCAAAGACATTGTCTCGCTGGGAAGTGATGAAGAATCAGTACTTGTTTTGTGTTGCTGATGTGATGATCTGCATTTGGAGAGCACTTTCTTAGTGTCTTTTCTCATTTCTTTTTCCCATGAGAGTGGTGGATGTATAGAGTCATTGACATTATTGTAGCTGTAAATTTGTAAATAGTCACTTCTTGAATTAGAAATGTAGGTGGTGAATTGTATACCTTGCGAAATTTGAGATTAATATGAGGTTTGTGTAATGTTGTAACGTGAATAATGCTTGTTCTGATTGATGTTTACATGAGTTGGCCAAGCCTTGTGAAGACTTTATATTCCTGAATTAAAGTTTATTATAGTAAACATACCAGCAAGCTTGATAAATTGAGTGTATATTATATATATATATATATATATATTGTCACTTATTCTTTTTCATTCTGATATTGGAAGACTCTCTTGTCTACTATTGCCTCTTAACTACTCACGTAAGAGCGTTAGATATCTAAACTTTATTGTGGTACAATGTTTCTTTTAACATTTGAAAACTGTTAGTTGACCTAAAAAATTACAAAAAAGAACATAAGAAATTGCATTTAAGAACCCTATAAAAAATTTAATATCAATTAAGTTTCATACAAATAAATTTTAAAATGTAATGTTATTTATTTCTTATATAAAAAAAAAAGCAAAATATCATTTTGATGAGTCACTTTAACCTATTGCGTGATTTTGGACTATCCTTACTAGCAATGACACAAAATTATTAAATATTAAAGTATTAATGTTTTAATATATCATTAAAACAAATATTTTTTTTTTAGTTATTGGTTTTGTCAACAATGACTTGATAATTATCTCATCCGGTAACCTTGTTAAATTCGTTTTGACATGGTATTTTGGTCTTTTACATGATAAAAAATAACATCATTCTTTTTTGTATTTATTTGTAATTTAAAGGATTTAATAAATATTAATTTTATAATAGGGTATCTATTTAAAAATTTTTAAGTCATTTTTATGATTTTTTAAATCGACTAACGATTAAAGTTAATATTTATTAATGATAAGAGCAATATTATATTGTTTTTAACTGTTGAAGGGGGCTTTGTGATTCGCTGGAAACCATAAGCTTTAGCCATAGCTTATTTCAAACTTTTAAGAATTTGTTGACGATATTACATGATGTTCTTTCTGTGGTTCTCACTATGTAATCTTGTTCTTTCAATTGTGAAAAATGATTGATTTGATGTCATCAAAATCATTTCATTTTGTAAGAATACCACATCTCACAGATTAACCATATTATAGACTCAATAAGAGATTGGAGCAAAGCTAGATAGGAATGGAAAACTCCAAGTAAAAACACTACGCACTGACTTCAAGGACTACACCATGGCTATGTTAATCATTACGGTCAGATGACTTATGGCAGTTTGGTTCGAGATTCTCATTGACATGTAATTTGAACAAGTCAGGTTTAAAATTCCTAAATATATATATATATATATAAATTAAAACTCATGTAATCAAACTCAATTTGGATATTTTAAACTTCTGAATATATTTAGGTTCGCTTGAATACTCAAATTATTAAATATTATTTTATTTTATTTTTTTCTTTTGTTAGCCAATTTCATTCTTTATATTAAAAAAGCAATTTTTATCTTATTTTAATTTACTTTTATTAATAATAAAGAAGAATTTGAATATTCAAGCTAAGCTTATTTGGGTTCAAGCTGGGCGCAGATTTCTTTGAGTTTATTCTAAAGGCATGAATAAGATGAAGTGAAGAAAATTTATTAACTCCCAAGTTTGACCATAAGATTTTTTGAATTTATTCAGGCTGGCCTATTGGACTTGTCCAAATTACCAACTTTAATTCTCATGGAAATTTTATTAGGTAGTGTTTGGATTGATAAATATGAATTTAAAATTTAAACTATTATATTTAAAATCCTTTGTTTGGGTAGTATAAAAAGAAAAAAATTAATCATTTAATCCTTATAGTTTAACCCAATTATAACTTAGTCCCTATAGTTTTAATCATTCAAAATATCGATTCCTATATTTTTAAAAAATAAAAATATAGAGATTAAAACTATTTTAAAATTTTAATATTTATAATCTTTATAAAGATTAAAAGGTTTTATTAATTTAAAATATTAGTCCTAAATTTTGACATAATTTTAATCTTTATAATTTTATTTTTAAAATATAGGAACCAATAATAATTAAAACTATAAGGATCAAGTTGCAATAGTAAAAATTTAGGAATTGAGTTATAACCAAATTAAAACTATAAAGATCGATTTATAACAAATCAACATTTGAGAATTAAATTATAACTAAGTCAAAACTATAAAAATTAAATGCTTAAATTTTTCAATAAAAATTTAAAAAAAAAAAGAAAGATGAACTTAAATTTAAAATAGAAATGAAAGATTAAAATGATGAGCTTTTCTCTATCTTTCAATTTGTGAAAGATAAGGACAAGAGACGGAAAGGAAAGGTTAGAGTAACATAAACGGAAAGGAAAGGTTAGAGTAACATAAACGTGACCACGACCACATTATTTCCTCTATAATTTTGCCCTTATAGCCACCACCCTTTAACTTAACAGTCTACTCTGTCTGCTTTTTTTTTTTTTGCCAACAGTCATACTCTGTCTCAAAAATGCATTACATATTTGCAGGGTAAATAAGGATGTTTCTTCCTTTCCCTATATAACAAATAAGTGTCAATCTAGTCATTGCAGATCAACACTTCAATCAATTCTTCAGAGCCATGAAGACAAACAATTGACTTAACCGGAAACTTTCATGAAACAAGAAAAATCATGCCATAATATTATACTAAACTATAGATGGTATAGAGAAACAAACTTGCAAACCATCACATTAGTACAAAGTAAGTTTAATTATAGTTATCTAGTCTCCAGTTTGGCATAAGAACTTAAGATCTCTTATAACTAAACGAGTGTAACCAAACTGAAAGTTCTTAGAACTTTTGCCCAAATATGGGATCTTTTCTTTTTACATAATTTGAATCTGTAAACTATTATTATATATATTTATGCGGTTTTTTTGACTCTTAAATTATGATTTGTGAAATTATTAGGCTAAGCCCTATTTTGGATTGATTGAAGAAAAATCATGAAAAATAGCAATAAAAAACCTCTGTATAAAATTTATATCAATCAAAGACTAGTTGTTATTAAAATTTAAATTAAAAAAAGCCCGAATGAACTGTTGTTAATTTAGAATGAGTTGTTGTTAAAATCCTAATGATTTTCATTGATAAAAGACTAACAAAAATTAATGAGTATTCATTTAAATTTAAAAATAAATAATTTTGGACTAATATAAATTTTATATAGAGATTTTTAATTGTTATTTTTCTCAAAAATCATTGAAAGTATTATTCAGTTAATTGTTTTTGTATTGGGCGGACTATGGAAGCTGATGTCTTGGGCTTCAAATGCCCTCTAAGTCCGTTGTATTTGGATTATTTTGGGTTCCTAGTATTTTGTAAATTAGATAAGTTTTGATTATCGATTTTAATGACTTGTTTAGAGAAGTTGACCAATGTGTGGATTGGCTTGCTCATTAGGTCTACACTGTTAATTTTAATATTATAATTTTTAATGATCCACCATCTAGATGCCATAATTTTATGAATTTAGACATGTCCTGATTATTATATTATTATTATTTTGCACGATTTAACCGTGGCCTTATGTTAAAAAAAATTATAAATTATATGTGATTTAAGTTAAGTGTTCCCATCACAATTTACATGATCATGCCAATATACAACAATGAGCTTAAACTTGATATAATTTTACATAGAAAAGCATATTTATCGACACATATAATTTTTCACACCTTCAAGTTACCATATAATCTCTTTCAAATCAGGTCTCTGCAACATCTCGAAATTTTTAAGATCTAAATTTAAATTAAAATAAAATATCTATAATGAAAGTAAAATTAAAAATAATTTGATAGAGATTTAGAGTTCAAATTTTACTGAGTAAAAGTTTAATTTTATTTTATTTTTAATTATAACAAAAATTACCAAAGTTAACTTGAGCTTTTGTGCTATAATAAAAAAAATTGGGTCCTTTCTTGTAATTTTTCTAATTTTTTAAGATCAGTTTTTAGATTTAAAGCACGCTGAAAATGCAAAAATGAAAACAAAAGTAAAGAAACAACGAGCAAGAACATGAGAGAGAGCGAGAGAGAGAGAGGGGGGGTGTTAGGTTCATATTTAGGAGGCTTTGCGGTCATTGTGAGCTCGGCCACACAATAGGTAAGTTTCGTACTTCAATCCTCCTCATTTCCTCTTGGTTTTTTTTTTTGAGTTTTTAGAAGAGATAAATTTTGAATTTTGATTCTAAAGATTTTATTCTGGTAAGTTTAGTTTCTTTGAATCCTAAGGTGAATGTTTTGAGTTCTATATGCTGTTCTAATATTTTGAATGGGTAATTGGATGAGAGAAGGGAGTTTTGGGCAAAATTCAAACACCAAGGGATTGGGTTTTGCTCCTCAATAGTTTAAACCTATTGATTTAGTTATAATCGTGCTAGTTAAGCCTAATAAGATTTAAATTAAAATTTAGTTTTCATTATAAGAGCTAATTATGAAAGTTGATAATACTAAATGAAGGTTTTTAGTTGATTAAAAATTGTATGGTTTGAAAATTGGCCTAATGGTGGCTAATAAATAGTTTTGGTAGTTAAGTGATACTATGTGAATGGTTGGTTTAATATATGGACTATTGGGATGGATTATAACTCATTGACCCAAGTTATGTGCTATTAGTTATAGTTTTCATTAATGTTATTTGCCATGATAAATGATGTGAATCACTTATATGTTGTAGGAAATTGTTAGTGGAACTTATTGTAGGATAAGAAACAAGCCAAGTTTCATTTTATACAAGGGAAAATCCTTTTGATACAAAGGGTTAAGATAATAGGAAAATTTATATTTCTTATTGCTTTGTTTAGCTATTTTTAAGTAGATAATATTATCTAGCATGCATTATATGTTTTAAACAACTGAATGTAAATAAAATGTGTTTTATAAGGGTTTATGGGGTATTACTTTTATAATAATGTATCTATGTTTACCGTCTATTTAATAATGATGTTATTTATGAAAATAAGATTATTAGCATGTATTGTGGTTGTAACAATGAGGAGTGCATTTAAGGAGTGCAACTAAGTTCGGTATCTTAGATAGGCTAAGGAATTGCTTAAGGGATGAATTATAAGTGTTATACTACTTTAGAGTATTGAAGTGGTCACTACTCGGAAAGGTAGAAAA